AGCTTTCTTGTCATTTGCTATTCTGAGTTGAGAGAGAGAGAGAAAGAAGCTTTACAGCTTTTTTAAGCAGCTGAAATGTTTTGCAATTCTAGCTGCACGCAATACTGTCCCAGGACAGAGAAGAACTCACTTTATGCCACTTTAAAGTAACAGCAGACACATACTGAGCTGATCCAGTATGTTACAAAACGTGACGAGGGAACCTATGGTCTGCTCATAAAAAACACTGCTGTGATCTTAACTAACGTCATAGGAAAGATGAGGTCACCTTTGGTGGACAGAAGAACGGAGTGTGAGTCTGCCACAGACGAAGCACGCTGCGACTCGGTTCATATGCCAAGTGTGTTTGCCAAGACAGCGTGTCAGTCAGACGGCCATGTGGACAGAGCAGTGCCAGGCCGGACAGCTTGGATCAGGATGGACACAGCCTTCCCTGCAGACTGGTCATTGGAGAGGGTTTACCTCCAGGCTCCAAAGGAAAACATAATGAAGCGGACTTGAGTGCTGTTGAAGGAGTTTTTCCTGTCGTTTGACACTGGTATCACTCGGCTGATAGGTATCTTTTTTTAAATGATATAGCCCAATGACGTACATTTTTAAATGTGAACATTTTCTTTCTCATGAGTAAAAACGTCCAAGTATTCAGTATTTTACACATTACCTTTTCTTGTCAGGGTGAAACACCATGGGAAACTTAAACACTAAGCAACATAATATAACACAATATAAAAATCTATATAAACAACATAGATACTTGTATGCGAGATCCAATCTCAGGACTCTGTAGATCTAGCCCGCTTCATTTAGTGGGATTTGTAAGCTCCCATAGTACTCTAAGGGCCCAATAAAATCCGCTGGCTGACTTTTGCAGCGTGGGCATGAGGGGTCTATATCGGAAAAAATTTCAGCCAGCCTAGCCCTGGTCCAATGTGCTCTTGGAAACATTTTTAATGGTGAAACAATTTGTGCCTGGCACAGGGGGAAGATGTGTGTTCCAAATCAAGTGCTGCTTCCCATTGGTCATTTGCTCTCCCAAGTCATCTTCCTAAAGTTTCCTAATATCTTGCAACGAGGACAGAAAGCTGTTATACACTACTATAGATTAGAGATTAAGCCTTTGCGATGTGAAGCTAGGGAGAGAAGATTAGCAATAGTATTGTCTGTTGGAAGGTTTGGGAAAGACAGAATATTCTTCTGTATAAAATGTCTGATTTGGAGAGAAAAAAAGTGATTTTGACATGTCACACTTCTTAGAAAGTTGTGCGAATGAACCAAACATGAAAAATATAAACTAAAGATGGATTGAACACCCTTCATCAGCCATGTTCCACAGAATCAGTCCAGGACAGAAGGCAGGAAAATATGGTTGTTCTTCATAGGGGAATGTATTGATGACGTTTGCAAGCTGAAATGTCTTCTAAATTGTGACCATATTCAACTCCTGGGTTAGAGGAGAATTGGCTTAAATGTAAATGAAGAAGTACTTCATTAATCCCGCAAGGGGAAATTCAATGTTTTCACTCTGTTATCCTCCTAATCAGAATAGTGATGTTATTAAAAAGATCAAGAAATCTTGGTAACACAATCATTTGACCAACTATAGAGAGTGGGAGGTTCGGCCATCCATGACCTGTTTACAATTTTTTCAAATAATATGCCAAATTCTTAATAAGAAAAGACGGCAAGGTGGGTGTGATCTCCACCCCAAGATATATAAAAACTTTCCTTACTATTTTCAATAGAAAATGAGCTGGAGGAATTAAAGTGACAGACTGGTTGAGAGGGAATGTCTTGCTTTTCTGAAATTGAATTCTATAGCCCACAAATCCTTCCAATTTACTGAGAATAAGAAATAGAAGGAACTGTTGATAAGGGATCTAAGACGTACAAGAGAAGATCATCTGCGTATAGGGATCATCATTATAATCCACGTCTTGGGTGGACACACAAACAGACAACATGGTTACAGTAAAGGGTTAAGAGGACTGTCTGTACAACATACTGTATGTCACAGAAAAATAAGCAAATAAAGATTCAGCAGTCACACTATAAAAAAAGGACAGGACAAAGGATGTGTTCATAACAAAAGGGTGGAAAAAACACAAAACAAGACCATCTTCAGAAAGCATTCAATTATACTCTAACTCATGTTGTTAAGACTCTAGCTTGACGCAGTTTGTTTTACAGTAGGCACAAAAGGTCCAAGTCCCTGCCTTAATATCATATTTTCCATGACCCCATGAAGGATTCAGAAGTTGTGTAAACGATTATGATCTAAATACTGTTTTAGAGCTAACCTGCCTAACAATACATTCTTAGGAAAAACTCAGTACAAATATAAGCACCCTCATGGTCCTCTTAAGAGCTACACTGATAATCAGCCAGGCCGATATAGTCCAGTACTGGTCGGGCTATAGTCCACTAAATAGTTACTTATACAATGCACTTAAATTTCAATCAACAGACCAAAGCCCATTCAAAGTCCAACATCAGCATGATATCAGTGTATCAGTGTAGTAGTAGTTTCCCAGCAGCCTCCCACTGCCTCTGAGCTGTGTACTCCTGTTGATTTCCCAATAAGACTCTTTTTCCTGAATAAACTTCTGCAAGACTTACTGTTCACATAACTTTGTTTTTTGGTAATCAGTTGTGGGAATGAGTAGCAGGCTGTGTGTGAAATGATTTAAATGCAGACGCTCTGGGGCAAGAAAAATCTGTCATGACAGTGAGTCAACTGTGACTAATTACAGGCCCTGCAGCTCCACGCCCTGCCTCCTCAAAGAGCTGCAAGTTTCTGCATTCGAAAAATACAATAACATAACAGGCTGCTGAGGAATCTTGCTTCTGTGTCTCAGAAAGCCCACGTTTGTCCCTGTATGCCTTATTGAGTATTGACTTGACATAAATGTGCTCGAGCTTGTGTGCCAGCAGCTATTTGCACAGCTAATGTCAATATTTTCTTTAAGTGCCTACAAGTTACTAGTCCAAAGGTTGTTGTGGCAAATGACCTTTCAACAAGAGCAGAGTATGTGTGCCAACACACTGTTTCACTGCTATGCCTCTTTAGGAGGTCCCACATGACCTCGTACACAGACAGTGGGTATGTTGTCAGCCTATCCACCTCAGCTGCCTTCACTCAGTCTCACACTTTAAGAAAAGACCCATCTGATATTTACAAGCAAGGCGGACAAACGCCTTCTCACACAGGCACAAACACATTAATGCTTTTCAAAGGACTTTGTCTCAGCAGTGTCATTCAGACAGGCAGACAGGTTCAAGTTGTCTAACGCCGCTCCCTCCCACCTCCGTTCATTTTAGGAAACAACAAACAATGCGGTTGCTATGGGCTCCTCTGGGCGCCCTAAGACCGCTTTTCAGCAGCAGTTTAGACAGCGGACCGCAAAGTTACAGACAGTTCACTGAGATGGGTTATGGGCCTGGTTACTCCTCCTTTTCCAAACAAACATGGAGACACTGCAATCGTTACACTCCCCTCCCCCACAAGGACGTACATATTAAAAGTTAGACCGAGTCTCTGCAAGAATATTTGCAACCTTTTACCACAAACTAGGACTCTTCTAGTGATAATAACACTAATGAAACAAGTAAGAAAGTCTCTGACACGCCTGACGATCCTCAGTAACATCCTCCCACATCACACTGTTCTCTTTGTCAAAGAAAATATCAAATCCTCTCATTTAACTAATTTCATCTGCACAAAATTTATCAAACTACTCTTCCAGCATAATCCAAGGCTCATCAGTATCAGTATATTCAAATCCAAAGACATTACTAAATAAATCAATTCTTCACAATCCTGCCAGGAGTTCTGAGCAGGACCCTCAGCCAGTGACAGAGTTGAAATGTGTGTTTAGGATGAAGTCAGCATAGGACTACTGTTATAAGTTTTTTTTTTTAAGTAATTTTGATATTCTTCAGCTGATGTGAACAGGTCACTGATGAACTACCGGCTCTTACAGAAGCTTCATTCTCTATCAAGGAAAAAAAAGAGAAGAGAAACACTGAAGTCAAATGAATTACTTACAAATAAACAAACCCCCACACATACACAAGGTATGCCACAGTAACCCCGGATTAGTTGTGGGACTTCAGTGTTTTGCTCAAGGGCACTGTAGATGTTTATACCGGCTCCCCACCAGTTACTCCAGTCTCACACTCACACACAAGTACAAAGTGGCTTGTCTTACATTGCTCCCATTGGAAACTCCACTAAAACAAAATTTGTGATCGTGGACTAAAAATATACAATTGACTTGACTTGTTTGTCTTTGACAAAACAAAGGAGGTATAATTCTGGGTTAACTATCCAAGTACCACTGAAACCATTCAACTAATGGTTTCAATGATTAGCTGACTGACAGAAAATAATTAGCCAACAACTTGATAGCTGATTAATCATTTAAGTCATTTATCAAGGAAAAAAATAGCTCCTCAAATATTTCTCTGTTTTCTGCGATTGTAAATGAAATATACCTGGGTAATGGACTGTTGGTTGGACAAAAACATGCAATTAAAAGCTTTTGCCTTGCCCTCTAGAAACTTTTAATTGCCATATATGACTATTTTTTTTTACATTTCACAGACTAAACAAATAATCAAAAACTACTTAACCGATTCATAGATGAAGAAAATAATCACTGGCTGCAGCCCTGTTCCTAAAATGTATTTGGAAACTGTGGTTAGGGATGGATCAACGATTTAGTGAAACAATAATCAGCACGGCTATTTCTGTCTAAAGCTGAAAAACCCTGATAGAATTAAGATTAGGTGTCAGGTACAAAACAACTTATTTGTTAAACTGACCCCAAGTCATGGGTAAAAAAAACTAATTTTCCAGATCAGCTCTATATCTCTTTGTCAAGTAAATCTGCTTTAACCTTTAAATCAAGATCATGTAACCAGAACATGAATGAAATGTGTTCTTTTGAAATGTAATGTGACTAGCAGTAGTTTCCTGGTGATGTGTGTTCCTGACTCACCAGTCTCTCCATTTCCTGCTCTCGAAGCCTCTCCTCTCTCTGTCGTCGGTGGTACTCAAGCAGCTCGTCCTCGTTGTCGCTGATTTCTGTGATGCTGTTCTTCCTCTCCCTCATCCCAGGGTGGGGTCTCCCTGCGGACATCTTCCTGTGGGTCCTGGGGCTGGCTACAGGGGACGAGCCAGGCAGGGAGCCCAGACTGTAAGCAGGTGACAGGGAATTCCCAAAGCTTGCCTTCCGTACTCCAGCACCACCACCACCCTCCATCAACATAGAGGTAGGCGACGGACTGCGGGCTCGGATCCCCCTGCTGCACATCAGCTCCTCGGATGTAGATCCGGACTTGCGTCGGAGCCTGGGACTCTCTGGGACAAACTTGCTTAGACTTGAGGGGCTATCTGGAGTCCTCAAAGTGGGGACTGTCCCTGGGAGCGCCCCTGGGAGTACCGGGACCCCTCTCCGAGCTATTGAGGGGCTAAGAGGTGGCAGCTCTCTCATACTGCTGCCCCCTCCACTTCCACCGTTCAGCTCCATGTTTCTCCTAGCCATGCGGGGGCTTTCAGGAGGCTGCAGTGAACGTGGATGCTGCTGGAGCGGCGATCCTTGGATGATATGGATGATAGGGTCCAGGGGAGGCTGGAAGGCTTTGGTGGGTTGGGAAAGTTGCCTGGAGGGGCTGGAGGTTATAGAGAAATCAGCTAGACTGTTCTGCTCTCTGAAAGGGCTGGCAGGCCTTTCCTGGAGCACTGTGGTTGTCTTGGTCCTGGGACTGGAGGGTGACGGAGATGAACAGGTAGGGAATTTGGGAGTGAGCCGGGGGCTACTTGGCACAATGTTTCTACTACTGAGAGATTCATTAGAGGACAGAAGGGGAGTCTGTCGGGGGCTCTCAAACCCATCTTGGCCTAGTCCTCTGCGGCTTGGCTTGGGGCTCGGAGGAGACTCTGTTAAGACCTTCCTCTGCAGCCTGGGGCTTTCCTGAACCTTCTGGCCCACCCCACCACTGCTGAAGTTAGGCAGTATGGTCCGTGGCTGGGGTACAGGTGGAGGCTGGGTGGTGAAGTTGTAGCTAGAGGAACGTACAGGCACTGGCGGCAGAGAAGAACTCTGGTCCTGGGGTCCTCCACTAGGAGACGGGCTTGTGAAGCTCCCACTGCTGGCTGCTGAAGGGGAGGACAGGGGAGAGAAAGGAGGGGATGTATTCTCATAGCTGGACCCTACAGACATTGCACCGGGGCTGGTAGGAGGGGACAGCAGATAGCGGCCCCCTCCATTGACCAAAGGCGACAGAGGGGAGTGGGGAATGGGTTGGCCTCCAGGAGGCTTTTTGCCTTCTGAGGAAGAAGGCTGGGAGTCATCCATGACTAGGGAGTCCATGATATCCTGGAGGTCCTTCTCAATAGAGCTGACGATTGCACTGTGCTCAGACTGGACTCTCTCTCCAGGAGCAGGGGGAGACTGGGCTGCACTGGCCTGGTGATTCCCATTGACCAAGCTCTCGGTGTCTGAGGGAAAGAAGACAGGAAACAAATGTCATCAGACTTTGTTCAATAAAACAAAAAATACAATGGGTAGAAAATAGAATACAGTAATGTTTAATCTTTTGTGCAGCCAAGTCTAATTTTCCTTGAACTGAAGAATTTAATGAAACTCTTAACCGTCTTAGCAGCAGCAACAAATGAGTTGGCCCTGGCAATATAAATGCAACATCATCTGGTAAGGCACTGCATTGGTCACTGAAATTTCTAGTAGATTACTTTGGTAAGGTGCAACAGTGTACTGTTTCCTGGAAATTCTCAAGACAAAGGATGAATCGATTGTCAGTGTGATATGTTTCCAGTTATACAATCCTGCCTTAAAGCTCATGGACCAGTACCTAAAGTAGTAGATAATAAATAATCCAGCAAATAATAAGTAAATTAAATAAAAATAAAAGTAAATAATCAAGTAGGTGACAAAACAATCAATACAGGGCAGAGAAATCCACACATTTTTAGTTTCATATTTGCCTGTGTTTTTCCTTACAGGGTGCCCACTGTTGCCTTAATGACTTTTTAATGACTTTCCATGATTCATTTGGGGTCAACATTAAAATGTTCTTTCCTTTCTTGTTTGGCTAGGTTGTGTTTTCATGCTGAAAATATCTAAGGAGGTTAACTGTCTGGTGTTGTGTCTGGTAACACACATATACATATGATGCAAGACAATTACTTGGAAAAGATCCTGACCTCCGTAGAGAATTTCCTTAAATTATGATATTTCAGAACCTCCATCTCCTGTCGTAACCTTGTCCCTACTATCTGAGACATGTTCAAAATCATAATCAAATCTGTATTTCTGTGGAAGCTGTGCAACAGGTAAGCATGAGGGCAGAGGAAGCATTAGGAAAGAAGATAGGACACAGCAAAGGAGATGTACAGACAGACAGGCTTGTGCATTGGATAGGGATCAGGAGAAAATGTGCCTACATAACCCAATTACTGTGTGGCTCAAAAGCAACTTAGGACACAGGCTGGGTAATCTAATCTTAACAGTCTCTCTCTAATGTCAGCATAGTAGATTATTACAACAGAAACGCGCGGCCACGTGGGAGATTCAGCAGCATGGCCTTGAGGCCAGGATCAGAGCACAGATCAAGTTTTATTAATGCTAAATTAAATCGGCTTAAATTGGACTAGTTGTCTGTTTAAACGAAAACATGGGCATAATTGCAGTGCTGAGTCATCAGTGCAAACACTGAGAGGTAATAGAAAATAAAAGAAAAATACAGCTTTCATGCCCAATAGTGATGTAAGAACAGTAGAAATCATAAAAATGACTTAGGGATAGAGTAAATGATAACACACGCATAGAACAGAATTGATTACAATAGAAGAGTCAGTTTTGTCTGTTCATAAAGATGATGTCAGAGAGACGTTCCAATAGCAAAACTGCTCTAAAATATAGAAGCGTTACAAATAATGCATTGGCTGTGCTTGTTCAACAGACATGGGAGCAGCTTCCTGCCTTTCTCCCCAATAATGACTCTGGCTTACAGTGAAGCTCTGCCTTCATGACAGCCTGACCACAATTAAATTTTAAAACGTGTTCAGGCAAATTATACAGAATTAAGGTCTGCAGGCTGTCACACTGATACATTTTATCCGTTCAGCAGCACATGAATGTCACTGTCACATCGTGTCTCACAGACAACAAACCGGCTTGATTCTTATTTACAGTGTAGAAAATCGAGGGGGGTGGGGTGACAAAAATAAAAGCAACCGTTTGCTGAGAGAAAGCCCATGCAATGATGTCATGGGAAACAGGCTATCGCCTCGAGTAGACTGTACCAAACTTCATTTAAAAATCTGGAAATTTAATGTTAACTAACATGCCGGAAAAAGTGCACGTCTGATATAATTTTACTTAAGACATTTTATAACATGTAAGGACCTCTACAATTCGGGATACATTTCATCGTCAATAATCTCTAGTTTATTAAACACCATCTGCCATTCCCTAAATGTCCCCTCATCAGAACACTGTGATATTGTCACGCAAACGAAAATGTACTTTTTTTTTCAGAATAAAGGACGTATTTATTCGGCACCTGTATGCTGAATAAATAATGACAGTCCAATGAATCGCACTGAGAATGTAATGATGTCCGACGTTGTGTGCACCTTTCCAGAAACACAAATGAACATTAAACCAACAGATTTTGAATGGAGTTTGGCGTGTGACCGGTTCGTATCACTTTTTGCCCAAAGCTCTGGCATTAAGCAGTAGCGTTACTCACATGAAGGAATACATCTGCGACCCGGTCAGTTACAGTGCGCTTCACCTGCTATATGACACACACTGAGGCCCACATCCTCCGGACACCGGTTACAGACCGGGTGTGACAGAGCCCGGCCGTGCCTGGCTCCACATTCACCGAGGGAGATAAGGAGACACCATCGAGGTGATATTTTAGCCGGGGTTGGGGCGCTAGGCACCGCTGCTGCCTACGGTACCACTGGTATCAAGTTACTTAACACGTAACACTGCTTTTCCGGTCTTGATCTTCAAAATAAAACCATAACGTATTTAAAGTCCACGTGGAAAATTCAGTGTAAAAGAGCTGTCAGCGCTAAATCGGGCAACTAATACAAGGTATATTGTAATGCCCATCTCAATGTGAAAGACGTATATAACAAGTCAGTCCTGTTTATGTCAAGCATCAGCTTTGTCCCTAGTGTTCTAAAAGGTTATATGACACTGGCTTTTGCCCTATATATTTTAGGCACGCATAACTTCAAACAGGAGACCATGGCTCAGAAGAACAGATCTAATGCTCAACATGCCATTCTCCTCAAGAGAGAAATGTATTTTATTTTGAAGGGAAATTTGTCTTACTTCCAGTGTCATGGCTACCTTGACACAGCTCTTCCTGTCCTGGGTGAAATGCTGGTAGATTTATGGCGCTGTTTGTAAAGAGCCACGGCCGTGTTTTTATGGCCTGTCATTGTTACTGGCTCTGTAATGCAGATGTCAGTTTTAGATGAGACAGGGGACAAAGCATGAACAAATTATCCCTCTGGACTACACACTGTGGCACTACACTGATATTTTACTGCCATGAAAAACAAGTTTTCTGGATGAATTTAATTATTGGGCCATCATTAAAATTAATAGACTGTTGTCAATGACAACAACAAAACTGCTTTCAATGGAAGTTCATTCTTTTAAATAAACTGGGATGCTCAAGATATCAGTTAGCATACATACAATGACAAATTGTTTTCCTTGTATCTGCTTCCCCTTGGACATATTATCCATAAACATGGTATTTCTTTTCATATGTATGCTGATGACACACAAATATACTTGCCCGTCAGATCCACAGACCCTGGAATGCTGAGTTCACTTAACAACTGCCTTTGTGAAGTTAAAAAATGGATGTCAAATAATTTCGTCCAGCCTAACTCAGACAAAACAGAAATCCTGGTCATTGGGTCCCAGCAGATGGCAAATCAAATACTGCCACCTGCTGGTTCCCTAGTAAATCACATTAAGCCTGTGGCAAAGAACCTTGGTGTCTGGTTTGATAGTAATTTATAGCTTCTTCAATCATGTTTTTATCAACTTAGAAATATAGCAAAAATTCAATCTATGTTAACTTTTAAGGACACCATTTTACATTTCTTCATCTCATCACGCCTGGATTATTGCAACAGCCTTTTCACCTGTTTAACCCAAAAATCTATTGATCGACTCCAGACTGACCAGAACTCAGCTGCCAGGCTTTTAACCAGAACAAAGACATATGACCACATTACTCCTATTTTAGCTTCATTACACTGGCTCCCAGTATGTTTTAGAATTGACTTTAAAATTCTATTGATCACTTTTAAAGCTCTTAGTTCCATACGCACCAGCACGTACCTTGAGATCCTCGGGCAGAGGTCTGTTGTCTGTTTCAGAGTCTCGACTGAAAACTAAAGGGGACAGAGCGTTTGCTGTCAGGGCCCCGAGGCTCTGGAACAGCCTGCCCGAGGAAATCAGGTCGGCTGAGTCAGTGAACTCTTTTAAGTCCCTTCTTAAAACATACTTTTATAGGAGAGCCTTTCCCGATTTTATTTGACTTTATTTTATCCCTTTTATTTTATTCTATTTTACTTGTTTTATATTCATCTTAAACGTGTATTTTAGTCTGTATTTTCGTGTATTTTCTTGCTTTTATCTTGTATTGTTTTTGTATTATTGTCTCTTGGGTATTATTGTCTTTACACTTGTTAAAGCACTTTGTAACTTGTTTTTGAAAAGTGCTCTACAAATAAAGATTATTATTATTAATTATTATTAAATGAAGCTGCAACCATTTTTTTAACCATACATTTGTCAAGCTTTCTGCAGCATTCAAAATCCATCACATTTCAAAATCAGTGGTGGAGGAAACACTGCAATATGAAAATTACAAGACAACTTCAATAAAAGATGCCACTTATGTAAAAAGTATTACTGAAATGTACAAATTTTTAACTAATTTATATGCTCTTATACATCAGCAGTTGAATCTATGGCAGTGCATCATATTTTAGAAATTCATCATATTTTTGTATTAGTAAGTGATGTGTTACGATAGCCATTCTATTTAATTATTAGGGTGTTATTTTTGTTGCAAACAACTAGGATAGTTATTTATGAAATATCATCATATGGCAGATGAAGAACCTTGCATTTTTATTTCTTGGAACAAATAAGACCAACAGAAGTGCAGCTAAATGAAGAGTTGTTTGGGAGTGGAAAGAGCTGGCTCTGGTAAAGGAACAGATCCATAAGATCTGGGCTCCCTTCAAAAAGCTGCAATTCCCATCACTAGTTTACATTAAAATGTTAATCTAGAAAATTATTTTGTAGTTAAGTAGAAACTATAATTATTTATAGGTTATGTGCGTTACGCATTCTGGCTGAACTTTTCCATACAAAATACTGATGACATTGATCCATTATGGTGAAAAAGGATTGAAGGCAAAAAGGAAATTTTCCTCAGGAGGGTTTTTACTGGTTTGGAAATGGAAATGACGGGCAGGAAAGAGGTGCTGACTGCGTTAAATGGTAAAAAGATGTCCGGTCCTATTTTATTGATGGACACTCGTTTTATTGCATAATAAAAACAATTTTAAAAACCTTTTGAACATCAGAGTGACATGTGGTGGTGCCTTACTGCAACCTTAATAACGATCAACAACCTCCCAAGCATTTAGCGCTGCTTTTTGCAGACTGTCAAGCAGCCAGCGACAGATACAGCAGCCAAACCACAGGAAGATAAAGGCCTTTTATTGAAAAGCGAGTCTAACACACATTAGGATTGTGGGTGGGTGCAGGAAGGGACTGGAGGGGAAACCCAGGGCGGGAGGCTGCAGAGATAGCAGACAGTAAAATGGAACAGGAGGTTTATAAATAGTCCCTGAAAAAGATACTGTAATTTCAGCCGTCCACCACTTTAAGTAAGCAGCTCAGGGTCACAAAGCCGTCTGCTGGTCTGGCAGAGAGGCACAGGAAACGTCCAATCAGTGAAGAGGTGGCAGCTGAAAGACGGGTGGTCAGTGGACCGTCACTGACCTGGCAAAGCTTGCGAAAACTAGACAACAGACAGGTGAACGTGACTTTCATGTGCTCAAAAACAAAAAGGCAGGAGGAGGACCCTTTTATACTACACTAAAAGTACCATTTACAGGTACACGAGAGCACCTTTTGTGTTCCTTGTGATCAGCTGTAAAGATGCAAAATGGCTTCACAGTGGATCAAAAGCCATTGAAGATACATGTTCAGCTGGCCAATACGAACTGATTTAACTGATGCTTAATAAGCCTGATATTATATTTAATTAAAAAAGCAATAATCTTTTGATGTTAGCAGAGAAGCTCTTTATTCGGGCGAGGTGGGACACATTCACAAAAAAACGCTGATAATCATCATACATATTTGCAACTATTTAGCCCGAATGAATAAAAGGTTAGTTACTAAAGTCATTAGAAGCTGACTGAGGTTTTAAGGTTGGTGCAGAGGAAAGTTCCAGCTTTAATTCTTGGCATGCCAACATGTATAGTAGTGTTGAGGGTGGGCAGCCAGTGAGGGATCAGGTCTTTGACTTTTATACGGCACTGCTCAAGCCCAAAGGAACAGAGCTGGGCCAAAATTTGAACGTTTATGGCAAAAAAAAGACTCAGAGATCTGCATCAGTAAATTACCTTTCCGCCCTTTTCATGTGTGTGTGGAACCGCTAGTGTGAATGATCTGTGGGCCCAAAAGGCCAAATCCCAAAGAAGCTGTGGGGGGAAAAAAAAGTTTTCCCTTTCAGTTAGCAACTTTTATTGGAATATGTTCATGGAATATTGTGTCCAGTTCGCTTCCATCCATAGTACTGCCACAGTGCCAAGCTTTTGTAGTCCAAATGATTCAGGTCTACCTCTTTCATAGACTGCTGCAAACTGGAAAAAATTAACCCCTAGCCCGGGTAATTTAAGGGGGCAATGAGTAAAGTTTTACAGCCGTATAGCACAAATTTACCATAAAACCATATATCAGCAGAGTTGAGCCCCAGTGTACATGTGCTATAAATTGCTATCATTGTTTTCTTTCAGACAGAAACGCTTGAAAATATAGCTTCCTACCAAAAAACTAGGTCAATTGGGTTTTGCTGGGTTTGCCCTCATAATAGCTTGAATTTATACACAGATAACGTGTGCAATTTTAAAATGATTCCAAGTAGATGTGACGGATACGGCCAAATTACAATGGGAGTGGTATAAGCAGGTTTCATCTGAATGCAACTCAGGAATGCATAATTGAGGTAAATTGTATGTTTCTAAACAACGGAAGGCTTTCATTACTGGATCAGGAAGTCCACAGAAGCAAGCATGCCAGTGTGCTATACTTATCCCCCAGTGGCAGGCAGCGTCAACAGTAAAAGGAGGGAAATAACAAGATGCTATGACAGATCCCTGATAGTAGAGCTAGCCAAGGAAAGGTATACTTACTGTTGTGAGGCTGCCAGAAGGAGCACTCACAACACACGCGCACGCACACACACACGTAAGCAGCTGAATACTTTGCCTGGAGACGCAGAGGAATGAGATGCTCATAAAACATGCATGGTGTGAACTCCGGCACCAGGTCCCAGCTGGGCACCATTCAGGCTGCAGGGTTTAACGGGTGCTGCATTTTAAAGGCTGATCCAGTCAACAACGCTCTTGTAACAGAGCTGCAAACAGGGGTAACAGGCAATTTCTGCCTTTATTTCACATAGTTACGTTCATGTAGGGGTGGCGACGGCGGTAGTGGATAAGACACATGCCTTTGGTGTGGGAGACCCAGGTTTGACTCCAACCATGACATCCACCAATGTGTCTCTGAGCAGGACACTTAACCCCTACTTGCTCCAGAGGCGTGCGACCTCTGACATACATAGCAACTGTAAGTCGCTGGATAAAAGAGTCAGTTAAAAAACGACCAATACAATATGACCATTTTGGTGCATACAAATTATATTAATGTTTAGAATATAAATATTTCTTTAAAGTCATTTAAACCAACTCAGTACATTCTTTAAAGCAAAACTATTATTAAAGCCATATATTTGCCCAGTATTGTATATCACTAAATTAATATACTGCTTTAGTCCCAGCTGACTATCCTGTGCTTCTACACTTCCACCACCCTTGCCAGACTATAAAAAAGGAAAAATGCCGGAGGGTTTACTGCAGTGCAAACATCCACCTGTAAAATACCCTGGGCTCTGCAACAATCTGGCCCATTCATTCACACAAGCCATGTTGAAACTGGAGGAGGGGAAATTGTCTTGTTAGGCTTTTTTATTCATATAACAAAAAGTCAGTGTGTTTTTATTCACACTGGGCCAATGTTTGTGGAAGAAGGAAACCCTGACATGATGTGTAAGGTAGCAATGCTGATTGAAAACAGGCTGAAAATACAGTAAAATACAGAATGTAATACGAGCGTGCACGACCGCATAGTACCTGGACATGGTCTGTAGTCCCTGGTGGAGACACTTCCTCCCTGGGGCACCATGCTCTTCATCCTGAAGGCTTCTTCAGGATGGTTGAAGCGGAAGAAGGCTGACTGGCCAAAACACAGCATACAGCCTGGAAAACAGCACATACATCATTTGTTTTCATTTTGCTTCACAGAACCCACTGGAATTTACAGAAAGGACAGCTTTAAGGAATTAACCACATTTTGTGAGATTCACTGAAAGTGTATGGGTCCATTATCTTCAAACTGATAGACATGTGGTCCACTGTCACACAGAATCCAGTAAAGTACACACAGAGGACTGTCATACAAGTCAACAGAGAGGTAAGTAAGGTGAAGATGTTCTGACAGCATCAGCGGGGAAAGCAGCGCAAAGTGCTCAAACAGGAACCAACAACACGTCTGGCTGTGCTGACTCAGATGACACTGTGTTCGCCATCATCAACACAGTCACAAGAAAACGCAAGGCAAGGGGGCAGTCCCTTGTCACTGTGTGAAAGTGTTGATGGATGACACTATGAGCTGAGCGGAGTAGAGATCGTTAAGTAGCACAGAATTTTGGGCATCAAGTAAGATATTTAGAATTTGCACGAAAACACCCATTTGTATTTATATTTGAACATCTCTCATCATTTTTTCGTCTCCTCTGGTTAAATGAAATCCCATAATTTACACAGAACTATCTGATGTGCCTCGCCCTGACATCCTGCTTCTACAGGAAATACATCATCCAATTAAGGAGATAAGCTGCTCTCAAAAAACTGTTTGGGTTGGTATTTACGCCCACAGTAAACAAAATGCTGACAGGCTGAATCTAATTCATTTAAAAACGATATTGAGTTTGTTGTTGTTAGATGTTCATTAGCTATGGCAAATGTCCAGTCCACACATGCTATAACTCATTGTAGGTTTTCAGGTGCATGGTGATCTCACTACCATCGTCATAAAATACACAGAGTGCTGTTACAATTCAGTTAATGCAAGGAATTCTGCCTTAATTCAGGCTTAACCTCTTGGAACTCTTTAAAGCTGCACTTATCAGTATTTATATAACAATGGATCAAATAACTGTGAGTAAGACTGCAGTCCCCCTCAGCTCTGCAGAGCCGCAGACAAATGTGACGGAAGTTGAAGTTCCATATATGGTTTGTCCCAGAAGCCACCGCGCACAAAACGACCGCTCGGCTAGTGTTAAGTGTCAACGTAGTAATCAGTGGACATTATGCGTTAATACTATGCTATAATTATAGTATACTAATACTATAATTCCTGCAAATATTGTATTTATAATAATGATAATAATAAAGCAATGACATCCTACTGTTTATTTTTTATTTGTTCCAAAGTGCTTTTAAGTTTCACAAGCCAAGAATGTTTTGTACATCATGAGCCAGATGTTTCTAGACTTAGGTTAAAACTTTACAACATTACTGAGAATTTAAAGACAGAATGCCAGTGGTACGAACATTAACACTATTGTACAGCTGGACACGTCTGCTGCGTTGGCTGCAGTGGTCTGTCTGACTGGGTCTGGAGGAGCTGACCGGCCACCAGCATGCTTCTCCCGCGGATTGGCTGCTACCCCTTGGACCCTTGATTTCCTCGCCTATTACCCTTACCCTAACCATCACAGGATGTGTGCCCAAACCTAAGTTATTGATTGTATGCATGTCGGCCAGTTAACCCTGTCTACTAGGACGGCCGATGTGTGCAGCTACGTTTGAGTACATTTTCGATTCACCACCAATTTTCGTCAAACTGCCGATATTCAAACTCTACACAGTTGATTTCTCGCCTCAAAACTTCTCCGAAGTGTATTTAAAGATCTGTTGTTGGCCTCTAAAGAAAAAAACGGTTGTTAGTACCGATACGCGCTTTGCATTAGGATATTCTGTACGTGGGACGAGTGTGTCTTCTGGGACAAACGATATTTGGAAGTTTAACACTTTATAAAGTTATAATGTGTCAGTTTTGTGTCAATAGTTTGTTTTCACTGCTCAAAAGGGGTCCAAAAAAATCAGTTATTAGTTTAAGTTCAGTTTCCCCAGTGCTGCTTTGAAATGTGACAAACAAAAGAGTATGCATGGTGCTTGACCACTCACAAATCTTCCAATGATTCACTATTATTCAAAGTAAAACACCATTGTCCATGTGGTGGTTCACCCCTGTACATTGGCTGTCAGGAATAAAAGGATACCTGCTATTTTTTGGTTGAAAGTGTCTCTAGTGTGAAGGTAACGGGCATAGAATATTACTGTAGCCATTAGTCACACTGATCAGACCCGACAAACAGACAGTCTCCGTGGTACTTTCCTACCTGGTTTGAAATGTCAAAACACATAATGTACATAACTAATTAATTCCCTCCATGTGCCACAAGCTCAATAATAGATAAGCAATCTCGTGTTTATTGCTTTCTCAGTGCAGCACCATTGTCCTGCTGAGATTACGAGGGAAAGGTCTTCCGGCTCGGGCAGAGATAAGATCCCTGCCTGTCGTCAGAGAACATGAATCCTGCGGTAAAGATGGAAACTTCTCCATTACCCAAGAGGCGGAGGTGATGTACAACAAAGCCAGATGCTCTTTTATTTTGGACAGACACACTGACAGCTTGGGAAGAAACCACCAGATTATCTCATGAGGCCCATCTGTGGGCAGCGGCAAGGGAAAAAAGGTGTTTGTTCTGTTCTGACAATTGGAGTTATATGCAGCCTATACATCAATTTGTCAAGACAATGTACTCTCTGTTTTTTCTTTTATTAATATCTCCTATTTTATTCACACAAAACATTTTTAAAGTGTATCCATTATCTATACACGCTTATCCTGTGCAGGACTCGAACTATAATGATAACATTTTTCGATATTGCGATGATAATGTGACTTGCAATAACTAAACGTATGTTGAAGCATGGATATTAGCTTTACAGTTCCTATGTCAGCCTTTAAATTCAGAACATGATTAGAATTGATATTGATTATTTTAAATATAACTAAATGTTTCCAGAGCAGCAACAGCAAAATCCCTATAAAAACTCTATAACATCTCACTGGAAACAAATGTCCATGAAATATATTATATACCTGACATCAATATATCAGTCCTTCCTCCTGTCCCTGCCTTTGCTGCTGCTGATGTGATTCACTGCCTTAACCGAGCTAGTGCGCTGTACTTGTATAAAGCAGCATTAGAAACACACACTCACATTCACACATCAGGACAAGTTAAAGTTGCCAGTTCACCTACAATGCATGTCTTTGGACTGTGGAGTAAACTCGAAGTACGCAGAGATAACCCAGCATGCAAAGAGAAATGGTGGATCTGAACCCTGGACCTTCTTGCAGACATCAACAGGAACGATTCCCCTCACCTGACTGGACATACACACCTCTTGCTGTTGGCTTGCTCGTCATTGCTTCCATTTTTCTTCTACGCTATGCACCAGAAATAGTTTTGCAACAACTTTTGCAGCAAGCCATGCAGTTCTAGAATCCTACTTTATTTCATTTCTACATCTACGTCTGATGGAGTCAAAGCCTCAAAAGCTGAGAGGCAGCGGCATCTTAGAAGACATAGTCAAAGAAAAGGCCTTGGTGCCCCTTTATGATGTTTTATAGACATTTACTCTTCTTAATGTAGCCAAATTTACAATTACCACATTCTGCCCACAGAGTTGTGTATTCTGCATATAAGTTAGGACGTCAACAGCTTGTGAAGAATTGCTGACTAGTACAGTGGTGGTGCGAAATACCAGTTAACTTGATACTTTATATTGGTACAATAAATGCCACATGCCTACATGGCCCGTCCAAATGCAGCACTCTGCTTATTTGCGTTAGTATTTCTTTTTCACCATCAGTTCCCATATGTGGAGTGAAGTCAGTCAGTCAGCCAGTGTTTAAAATTTCCATCAGCGTTTCCTTCAGTGGTTACGACACCATAGTCAACATAATTTTGGTTGGTATTTTCCACAGTTGAAATTGTTTCTGTCGATATTTGGAGGTCTCATCAGCAGGAAAATGAGTACACCATCAGTCTGGTCATGAAAGGGAAAAACAAAAAGATGCTGAACAGAATATTTGAAAGCAGTCATCAGGATGTTAATACTGCGGTCTGCAGTGCCACGTCAGCTCAGCCACAGTGTCTTCATGCTCTCCGCTTCGGCAGTCATTCGACTCCCTCACCTAGCTCCTGTTTCCTCTGGATTCTGCCGGCAGCGCTCTCCTCCCCTCAACCTCCCTGACTCACAGTGCACACTCCTGCGTCTGACTTGCGCTAACATGATCTCCCCGGTGAAGATCAATCCAGTCACTTCCAATGAAAATGCTGGTACAAAGAACGTAGCTTGAAGCGCTGTGTTTCTGACACAGTCGTGACAAACTCATCTCTCACTCTGAGATCTGGAGGGGTTAGGTGACGGCTCTGTGGCACACAGCGTCATTTTTACTCAGCACTTCTGTCAAACGATGAACGTGTCTGTTAGAGGGTTTGGGAAAACAATGTTGACTCAGGTTATAACTGCAACTGTAAGACCTGTGGGTTTAGGATGAGAAAAGATCATATAACAACCACTTTGATGTTGTTTGATTTGATCTTTATTGTATTACTGATTAATATGTCCAGTGGCAATGAAAACATTTTATACAAGCTTGGATAAATAATTAGCTGATGTTAGCATGCTAACAAGCTTTAACCAACATGGTTATATTATAACTGCTAATCACAGCATGTTGTCATTGTGCGCATGTTAGCATGCTGTTGTTAGCATTTAGCCACAGTATTGTATAAAAGAAGTGGACGTAACCCCCAGGGTCTGAAAAGTGAGGCCAATCCAGAAGTGCTTTCAACCTGAATTCTTTCTAATGGCCAACAGGCGGCGACTCCACTGGTTGCAAAAAGAAGTCAGACTGTATTGAAGCCAATGAGACAATGACCCTACTCCCTTTTGATTTATTACCTCAATAAACACTTTCCTAATGAGCTCATGGTCTCGCTAGTTTCAAGTCATTTTCAGAACAGCATGTTCTAATGATCATTTAGTAAATTATGATCCCATTTAGAGAAAAATTGACAAGTCGTTTGTGTTCCTCCGTGTGTGCATAAGTGCAT